AAGCGGGGACTGTGTCCACTTCCAGTCTTGAGGACAGGTTAAACTTTCTGACAATTTTATGCTATGCAACTGGAATTGCGCGGTCGGTTGGCAGGCCGAGTTCAGCACAACAAGCTATGCTTAGTGCGAGCTCTGATTTCTCAACTCTGCCCATTCACCCATTCAGACTAAATTAAAAAAAGGCAAGAGCAGTAACTTTAACAAGCTAATGGGAACCGTCCAATGGAGAATGGTGCTAATTTCAAACTAAATTGATGGCTCGGCAAAGACTGGTGTAATCAATAGTACGCTCATTGCCATTTCTCCAGTGTTAATGGTAATTTGATTTATTTACCTAGTGGGTACTTTTGCTGGCAAACCTGCTATTATAATCTCAGTCAAGGTAGCTGTCCAGGATAGAGGACAATCCGATAGACAGCCCTTCGTTGTATCTGTTCCGCCATCTGACAAAGTTTGTCATGTTCAATGATGCCTTATAAATTTCAATTCCAGGATATCCCTTTTAAGTGAAACCGCACTGGTCTGAAACTGTTTTGCTAGCATCCAAGGCCAGATATGAGATTAGTGTGACCTGAGGGGTCAATGGTCATTGACATTGAAATTCCATGTTCAATAGATCATGTCAATAGAAAGAGATCAACTAACGGATGTTACTGGGAATAATATGACTTGAATTGTTGCATGTTACTGATTTATCATCTGAATTCATAAATTTCAGTGTGTCCCTCCAAAACTTCGTATAAGTACAGTTGTCAGTAGCTTTTCACACCACGCTTGACATGAGATGACTGTTCTCCTAGGCTTGGGGTGGCAATGTCAAAGTTTTAGTGATGCGCGCTCAATCATAACACAATTAATTTCCCCATTCCTGTTTTAGCCTATAATTGTCTGCTAATCTAATGTTAACCTGACTCGCGATGTAGAGTTTGGTTTCGACTGACGAAGGTAACCTGTTTCTCCCAGATTTAGACCGTAGAGTTGTTCACCAAGATTTACTAAAATTTTGATCGTATGTGACTGCTGTCAATTTCTCCCCCTTTTTTGACCACCCGCAAATTTGTCCGCCTTCCTACTGAGGTCAGCGTGGGTCAATCGTTGAAAGAGGGGTTCGTCCAGCTGTCTTACCAGATAATTCGTTTCTCTCAGCAGGTCCATGTTTGTGCATTGTTCGCGATTCCGCTGAGCTGAGGGCTTGCTGGGCCAGCGCTCTCCAATCCGACGGGACTGGATGTGAGATCTACTGCCCACGCCCTTGGCTTCCTCTGGTCTACATTAGCAATTCACACCTTGCCTACTGATTTGCAATGAAGTATCATACCCTACTCGGATGTTTACGATAAATTAAGTGTAATTTCAATGCAATGATCACTAAATGTTATTTAGATCATTTGAGAATGTGCCCTGTGATCAAAAGCTATCTTGTTTGATTCCCTCATATGTTAGATGTTGAAACGAAGTTGAAACTCAGACCTTTGGTTTGTTATTGCTCTGAGTCCTTTAAACAAAAGATATTTCATCGAATCTATACGATATCTGTAATTTAAGCCAACGCAGAGAGTTAGATGATAACCATTTTTAAATGCTTGTAATTATGAGCTTAGCGGGGATATGACCTTGTTCCACACCTGACCGGCGACCATTCTCGACTCATCGACTCATCGAGCGTCGACTCATCGACGCTTTTGGCGCCGCCTAGTGGATGTAGTTGTAGGTTACACGGGCTAGGTGGCAGTAGAGTGCCACGCATCTCATTCGTACCAAAAGCTTTCATTTATGGGGTCGATCTTTGTAAAGACTGAATTAAAACGTTTTGCTTCGACATCCTCCTCCCTCTTTCTCTCTCTCTCTCTCTCTCTCTCTCTCTCTCTCTCTCTCTCTCTCTCTCTCTCTCTCTCTCTCTCTCTCTCTCTCTCTCGCTCACCTCACTCTCTCGCTTACTCACTCCTCGCTCACTCACCTTCTCGCTTACTCACTCTCTCGCTCACTCAACCTTTCTCGCTCTCTCTCTCTCTCTCTCTCTCTCTCTCTCTCTCTCTCCTCTCTCTCTCTCTCTCTCTCTCGCTCACTCTCTCTCTCTCTCTCTCTCTCACTATGATCATTCACATTCGCCCTCTCACTCACCACTCATTTCAGTCAGTCACACGCAATTGCGTGCCGACACGAGGGACCTCTTGCGGCAGTTTAGGGAACCAGCTTGGTCTATTTCACGCTAGGCGGCACTGCTAGTACTGTCCAGCTGCATCTGAGCGCTGTCGGAGTTTGTGCCGAAGGCAATGGATCTTGTAGGTGGCGCTAGTGGTGCTACCGTTGGTGCGTCAATTGACCTGTTAATTGTTTAAGGTCATGTTTAAGGTCAAGGTCATACATTTTTCATTTCGCGCGGACTACAATCGCTCAGTTTAGAGAAAAGCTCACAGGTCCAACATCAGCTAATTAGGATCTGCATCTCGTTCAGTAAGGTGGCCTGGGGACAATCTGACCTGAATAGAACAAATTCTTTATTCTACATGAAGGACATGAGCTGCGGTAATTTCTCGCTTCCCTCCGTAACCAACTCTAGGCGTGTGCAAGCAGGGTGACATTTTTGACATAATCACGTCACATTGAACGGTAACTCGCTTGATGTTTATGATCCATTGTCTCAAATGATGCATCAATTTAGCAACCGTAACATTTCCACGTTATTCTTTGATATACCTCGAAGGGGGAGCTGGCATCAATATCCGTTAGGTACTGATAATGCTAGGAGAGAAAGGGGGATTGATTGACAGGTTACGAACAGCGATAAATTTATAACGATTGAAAAGGTGATTCAGATTTGTATCGGTTATATGAACGCGAATCACGAAACGACCTCAATGCTGATTTAATAACAACCCGGAAGGCGATTCAGACCCCCCAGCGTTCTTGTTCTGGCGCTGAGCTGCCGAAGGAGCAGAATAATGTTTGATGTTTATGTTTACTCTCCTTATCCGAATGTAACTGAACACGTCACGACCTTCTTGGGCCGCCTTCGTATCAAACCTTATCCAAATGGTGAATCTGTCCCAGGAATGTGGCGATCCTACGCTGACCGTCGATTTATCTCGAATAGCACTTGTAAGAATTGAGAATCGATTGACAGACTTGGAATTAACACTAGATTGACAATGGATTGATACGCTGGCCTACCGAGTTCAAACTAGTTAGATTATGAAACAACTTATGCTGACCTGCTAGCTTCAAAAAACAAAAATGTATCTGTGATGGTCGCGTCGTGAGTGGGTGATCATTGCATTTCCGTTGATTGATGATCAGACGGCCGTGGCGTAGTCCCATTTAATCGGTGAACCTGTGGGTGAGGCCGGCGTGAGGCCGTGTGATCGACGATGACGACTCAATGATAATTACGTTAGCGGTCTCTGTGAATCCGAATCAGCAACATATCTGGAGTAACCCTCCCTTCTTTTTTTTCCAGACAGATTGTTAAATTTTCACGCTATATTACAACGGGCGATACAGCAGTGGTCAAGCTCAAGTCCTAAACGGTTGCATTGCGATCGAGATAGTCAACTCGCCATTCTCGATACAAACCTAGCCTTAAACCTAATCCTAGCTCCCTCACCGCGAAAAAAAGATTAATTACAAACATCGCCAATGAACTGTCATGACGTCATCTGACGTAGTTTGACGCGTCAATGGTGACCAGCGCCCCAAAAAATGATACCACCTGACCTGTTCCCCCCTCCCCTCGAATCCCACACCCCACTGCGGCCGGACCGCGCGCGTGATGGCCGACAGATAGTGCCACCCAATACCAATGTAATGGTGAGCCATTAGCCTACATGACCATTACTAACCCGCCCGGCTGTCCCTCAACCCTCTGTCTATCCCATAGACAAGGCCGGACAGTCAGGCCATTAGCCCCTCCCCGTCTTTACAAACAGACCCCACTGCCGCTGCTCGGTCGGGAGCGGAAGTAGCGACCATCTGCCTCCCTTCCCTGCCGAATAACACTCCCACGATGTTAAATCCATTACCCTCTAATGGTGGCTCAGGTTAGACCCCAGGGAGTGGCATTTGTAATCAGATCAGAGACATCCGATGGGTAAATGGGAGGTGAATTGTCCATGACGGGGAGGCAGTCTTGATGAGGCGGACAGATGAGATGACTCACTTGACAGTGTTTGATGATTGCTGTCCACTCCAGCTGAGGTCCGGTGCAGTGATGATACGATCAGCAGAGAGGCCGCTCGGCCGAAGCCGGGCGGGGGCGGTGTCCCGCGCCGAGTCCCGAGGCGTTCTGTCTCTGGTGGTCGGCCTCCGGTGGTCGGTCTCGGGTCTGTTCCGTGGTCTGATGCCGCAGTCTCTTCCCCTCTCTCCTTCTGCGTTGAGTTTTGTTCGCCTGTGATTTCCGGGCCGGAGATTCCGGGCGTCGCCAGGCCTCCCCGACCGGGGCAGAAAATTGGCGACATCCCGTCTCGCATCCGGAGTCGAGACTGTCACCCTCCGCCCTCCATTCCGCCGGAACGTGACGTCATCCCCACTTGCACGGCTCATCCGTCTCAGCTGTCTCCTGCCGGATGACGTTTTCACACTCGATTTTCGCCGGATGTCGGTCCCTGCCAGTGCCGGACGCGGCGTTTTTCGCACTAGCCAGCACCGGAGGGCAGGTGGTTCCGACTGCGCCGCGTTCGTCGGCGGTAGCTGCGCCGGCCCGGATGGGTGTGTTTGTACTCCACCCTTCGGCGAGCCTTTGATCTTCGCTTAATGGTGACCGGCCGACGGGTCGGGGGATCGTATGGTCGACTCCCTCCCCACGCCGGCTCAGCGCCGCGGCAGGCAGTGCGATCGTCCTTACGTATAGAGTGTGAGAGATGTCCTTTTTGACGTACGGAGAAAAAAAATGTCACAGCTTCCAGCTGTTACACAAGCAAAAAACTTTTGCGGAAAGGCCGCTGGCCTCTCGCTGGAGCGTTTCCGACCAGTGTGCATCGGCCCGAGTCGTGCCCGTTCCGTACGAAGCAGTGCTTCCGGTGCGGTCGGACGGGGCACATCAGGGCCGTGTGCAGCAGGTGGACCCAGCAGCTGCATCAGCTGGAGGGTGACGTCGAGCCGGCCGTCGATGTCGAGACTCTGGGGCACGAGCACGGCGGTGACGACCGGCGGGAAACCACCAGAGTTCCGGAGGATGAGGTCTACTCCCTGTTTCATCTGCAGACGGGGCTCGGGAAGCGACGACCTCCGCTGCTGGTGGACCTGACTCTGGATGGACAGCCGTGAAGATGGAGGTCGACACGGGGGCCGCCGTCTCGGTTTGCTCTGTGGCAGACTTCGATCGACTCTGGCCGGACCGTGGTCCTGTGCTGCAGCCCTGCTCGGTGCAGCTCAAGACGTACAGCGAGGAACCGATCGCAGTCCTGGGCCAGGTGGAGGTCGACATCGACTACGCGGGCCAGTCGGCCCGTCTTCCTCTCGTCGTGGTCGACGGATCTGGCCCGTGCCTCTTCGGGAGGAACTGGCTGGAGTACATCAGTGTGGCCAAATTGGTGATGTTGCGGGGAAAGTCACCCCCAATGAAAAGTATAATGACATCCTCAGAAATTTTAAAATTACATCATCACGACGTTTTGTCGTGAAAGCATACCTACGTCGATACCACGTACCTAGTGTAGGAATAAAGACAGAAAATGTTCCGATGTACGATTCGCACCGTCATACTCGTACTGTCGCGCTTGCAATGTCGTTTTTTACATCTTTATTGACAACATTTGTTTTTTTTTGTTTTTTACTTTCCACCAGAACTTGACGTCATGAATAGTTTTTTTCCCACATTACCTGTAAAAACTGCACCTAAAATGAGGCTGAAGACGAGTTTTTTGAAAATAGTGACATCCTCGTACGACTTTTTTTATACATCCTCCCCTAACGCTAAACCAATTTGGTCACACTGGAGTACATTCGTCTGGACTGGCCGGCCATCTGCCAGGTTCGCTCGCAGTCGCTCGACGGGCAGCAGACCCGCAGAGTGGACGACATCTTACGGGAGTTTCCGGACGTCTTCAAGGAAGAACTGGGCTGCTACACCGGCGGAGAAGTCAGCATCGACGTGGACCCGGGGGTGCAGCCGAGATTCTTCAAGCCACGCACCGTTCCCTGGCCTACCGGGAGGAGGTGGACGCCCAGCTGGAGAAGGGGATCGAGGACGGCCTGTGGGAACCGGTCAGACACAGTAAGTGGGCGGCGCCCTTGGTAGTCGTACCTAAAGATGGCGGGTCTTCAGTCCGCATTTGTGGGGATTACCGCTTGACTGTTAACAAAGCAGCTCATGTTGAACAGTACCCTCTTCCACGCATCGAGGAGCTGTGTTCCAAAATATCTGGCTGCACCGTGTTCTCAAAAATAGACTTAAAAAACGCCTATAACCGGCTGGTGTTAGATGAGCGTTCCCGCGTGTTTCTCACGGTAAATACACCGAGGGGCCTACTGCGGCCCTGTCGCCTGAGTTTTGGCTATGCTAGCGCTGTCTCTCTGTTCCAGCGCACTCTCGAGTCCGTGTTGGCGGGTGTGCCCGGGGTGGGTGTGTTTTTGGACGACATCGTGTGTGGCGGGCGGGACCAGCAGGCGCATGACTCAGCGCTCCGTCAGGTTCTGCACAGGTTGCAGGAGGCAGGCCTCCGTGTGAACCGGGCTAAGTGCCGGTTCTCGGTGAGTGAAATCACTTACCTGGGCTTCAAAGTCAGTAGTCAGGGCGTGCACACGACATCCGAGAAAGTAGACGTGATTTTGAATGCCCAGAGCCTCGTAACGTCAAGGAGCTGCGTATGTGGTTAGGACTGATAAACTACTACAGTAGGTTTTTGCAGCACCTGGCCACCACCTGTCTCCTCTGTATCGGCTGCTCCGTTCTGGGCAGCGGTGGAGATGGACGGCGAAGGAAAGTGACGCTTTCCAGCGGGCGAAGTCGCTGTTGGTGTACCCACCCGTTCTGAGTCATTTTGACACGACTCTGCCGGTCGTAGTAGCATGACGCCGGGCCGCAGGCTGTCGGCTGCGTGCTGAGCCAGTTGACTCCAGAGGGCGAGCGGCCCGTGGCATTCTATTCGCGCACACTCAGTCAGACGGAAGCTCGGTACTCTCAGACTGACCGGGAGGCACTGGCAGTGATCACGGCCGTTAAGAAATGGCATTATTACCTCGCCGGTCGTTCGTTCAAAATTCACACGGATCACAAACCACTGCTGGGGATCATTGGTGAGCAAAAACCCTTACCGGTGATGGCCTCGCCCAGGATGGTTCGTTGGGCTATGATGCTCGGCGCGTACGATTACCGTCTTGAGTACCGGCCGGCCTCGAAGCAGGTGCACTGTGATGCGCTAAGTAGGCTCCCAGTAGGAGCTGCCGCGCCAGAGACCGTGCCTCTGCCGGCGGAGACGCTCCATTTAATGGAGTTTCTAGACTCGTCCCCGGTCAGTGTGGCCCAGATCCGTCGCTGGACCAGCGTGGACCCTGTTTTGTCGCGAGTGTACCGGTATGTGCGTGACGGCTGGCCACCAGCTGACGAGTCTCGGGTTAGAGCTCCAACCGTACAAGTCTAGAATCGGTGAGCTCAGTATCGAAGATGGGTGCGTTCTGTGGGGTGCACGAGTCGTGGTGCCTCCTCAGGGTCGGCCGGGGGTGTTGAAGATGTTGCATGAAGGCCACCCTGGGGAGACGAGGACTAAAATGTTAGCACGCATGTATATTTGGTGACCGCGCCTCGATGACGATGTAAAAGAGCTGGTGAGAGCGTGTGAAAAATGTCAGGAGTGTCGGGGTCGCGCTCCCGATGTTCCACTGCACCCGTGGGTGTGGCCCACACGTCCCTGGCAGCGCATTCATATAGATCACTGCACTGTCAACGGCGCACTTTTCTTAGTGCTGGTGTGCGCTCACTCGAAGTGGATTGATGTTTTTCCAGTGCACTCAGCTGACACTGGTATACCACGCTCGAGAAGTTACGTATTTCGTTTGCAGCCTGGGGCGTGCCCGAGGTTCTGGTGTCAGATAATGCCCAGGGGTTTGTGTCAACAGAGTTCGAAACATTCTGTAAGGTAAATGGCATACGTCATTTGACAACGCCTTGTCTGTCACCGAAGTCCAATGGCGCGGCTGAAAAAGCGGTAGACATTTTCAAGAGAGGTCTCTATAAGCAGAGGACTGGGTCTGTTGAGACAAAGGTATCCCGTTTTTTGTTCCGGTACCGCACGACTCCCCAGAGCACGACACAGTGCACCCGGCGGAGCTGTTTTTAGGCAGAGTCCCTCGTACGCATCTGGGCCTCGTTTCATAAAACTCTGCCGTAACTTACACCTTTCCGTAATTCACACCCTTTCAAACTACGGAGCGCAAATAAATCCGTTTCACAAAGCCACAACTGGAATTGTTTACACCTCCGTAACTAAGCACATTTGCGTAGTTACCGTAATTTATCAAGCGTCCTACAAATTACAATTTCATGTCAACACTTATTTTTTACGAGAATTTATAAAACAATTATGTTGAATTTAAATCTTGAAAATTATTTATGAAAAAACAAAGTTGATATTGATGACCATCCTTATTAAAACAATATATTAAAAACAGCAGAAAGCCAGATAAGCAGAAGTGTCTAACTACGAAAGTGGCGCGGCGCGGCGAAGAAACAAAATTCCGATAGTGGCCACAAAAAGCGACTGGTACAGAGGATTTGCAGTTTCTTTTTCTCATTTTGGCTGTTCTTTCTTCCTCACCGGGCTCAACATTATAAAATATATTAAAAATTAGCTTCGAATCTTCACATTAATTCAAAATCACGCAACATTTTTGTGCGTAGTTTACACCACTGATATCAAGAGCTTGATAAATATTTGGCGTTAATTACGTCGTTTATGAAACCCAAATGGCATCAATTGGTCCGGAATCGAGCATTTGCCGTAAATGAAGCTCCGTACTTTCGATGGCGTGAATTACTCCGGTCTCCGGCTTTATGAAACCGAATTGGCATCAAATACGCCAAATGGCATAATTGACGGAACGCCGTAAGTAATTCCTTTTATGAAACGAGGCCCTGGATTCTCTCATCCCAGGTAGAGAGGTTAGAGTGCGGGAAAAACAGGAGTCTCAAAAGAGGTACAAGGATCAGGGCAGTCAGGATAGGGCTGTCAGTCGGTGACAAAGTGTTTGTGTCTGCGGTAGACAATCTCCGAGGGTTGGACAAATGTCGGTGGGCCCC